ACGTACAAGTAGTGTGTGTGTGTGTGTGTGTGTGTGTGTGTACACACACGTGTACACGTGTATAAGTGTGTGTGTGTGTGTGTACACGTGGACGTGTGTGTACACGTGTGTGGTGTGTGTGTGATTTACAGAAACAGCAACTGTAGTATAGTATCACAATTATTATTGGCAGCAAAGATACGGGAACAGAATATCGGAGGACATGCACGTACACGCCAAATACATATAATACAACAAGCGGACAAAGCGACCAACAGCACAAATAAATTTCACATTCTTGTGTAGATTCTTTTATTTGGCAAGTCACAAGAGAAGCTATAATCTATGAAAATATTCAAAATTTTTATGTATGTAGTTCCATCTGAGATTTCTATAAATATGCATCTCCGCCTCGATCCGGGTCGTCTTGTCATACTTTGAAAGGCCTATGAAATATTGTATAACAATCAGGCAAGTGTTTTTCTGGCCTCTTGAGGCAAGTCATACCTATCGTTACACATCATGTACGCCCGTACTAAATACGAAGGGTGCGTGAAATGCCTGTCAAGTGGGTTAGTAGCTGCCAATATATCAGGAAAGGCCAAAGTAGCATATCAAATACAGCGAAACAACGCATTGGAGAAAGGGCTTGTTCCGCCACTAAGACCCCAACGAACTAAAGCGTGTCATGTATGTGGAGGCTGCGGTTTGGTAGAACGTGTTACTACTGGTAACTGTAGTAATATTTCATACAATGGAAATACATTTGTACCACGACGGCGGTGTAAGGTAGTGGTCATTGGTGGTGGTATAGGGGGCTTTGCCCTAGCACTAGCCCTACAACAGAGAAATACACAGGTGATAGTATATGAGAAAGACAAGTCCTTTGATGAGCGCTCCCAGGGTTACGGATTAACACTACAACAAGGTGCGCGCATCTTATCAAAACTTGGGTATACTCAGAGTTTGGATCAATACGGAATCAATCCATCACAGAATAGCTCCTTCTTGCCGACTGGTGAATTGCTTGGCAGGTATGATCTGTGTATATCGCTTGTGTGTATGGAATTGAGAACATAGTCAAGGAAAATGGATACTTCTGAACGATGAGGCCCGCTGATTTTCACATTGTG